ACGGTTCAAATACGAGGCGTTGGCAATCGTCATATTAAAATACGTTGCTGCCACCTTCCGGACGGCTAGGGAGTTATGTTTTCAGCGGCGGGAGCTAGCTCTATATTATCAATAGCTGCCCTGTACGTTTCGTGTTTCCACTGTATGCGACTGGCCACGCGCCAAACTGGATTCCTGACCGCTCTTCCCACAATATAGGTAACTCCTGCGGTCATTCTATTTTCAAGACGGTGATATGCCTACTTGCAAAGCACTTGTACTCACGAACACCGAAAAACGGTCCTTTCTAGGATCTGCAGTGAGTTCCTGTCATATGCACCAATCTTCATGTGAGCTGACCGTGGCGTGGCGCACAGCAATGGTTCTCATGTTCATTGTGCTGCCGATTGTCAATGAATGGGTCTCCTAACTGGTTCGCACGGAAGGAAAGGCCCGTCAAACTTAGGATATATCTCAGTCGTACGACTCTCCATGAGTAATCTCCAGAGAGCTTCTCAATACGCCGAGAAAGACCGAAGCAAAGGTTAGCGGTCATATTATCATGTACAGCATGCAGCACAGCGCTCTTACTACGGTTCTTATCTTCTATCCAGCAGTGTTTAATAGTGGAGACGATTACCTTTCACTACCATCCGCTGCTCAAACGGTCATGACACTCACCCTACTCCACTCCGGGGTTCTCACCGCACCAGTCCTCCATGTATGTCGCATGCTTCACTTGCGATCCATCATGACCTACACATGTCGTGCGTGCTCACAATCACCACCTGTCAGGGCGTACAAGCGGCCGCAGGTCACCGTGGGACTTCCGAATGGAGTAACATGGAAATGTGGGTGTCTCCAAGAAGTTGCGCACGTCGGTATCGCATGATGTCCTCCCACAAAGCCGGACAGTCTTGGATCTCATCTAGTTCACCTCTCCATCTTGCTGGGTTTCCAGCTTCGAATGCTCCCACCCCAGTGTGTGCCAGTTCGCGACTCGTGGACCCGGTTTAGGACCACAATTCTCATGTCAACCTCGATAACCTTGACACCTAGGACACTGACCTCTTGTTGTCCAACTGGCAGACCCGTCGAAGAAAAGGTCCTTTTGGTATGCGCCATGCGTACAAGCTTCATTCCAATCGCAGCTGGAATCTTCGCATACAGTATAAGGTTTACCCCGTGGTGCGAAACCGCAGAATAATGGCGTGGCATATATACCCAACGTGTGCTGCTCGTACGTTTCACTTCTCTCGTCCTTCCTACGCACGTTGATGTTCCCATGTTCTCCACGACACCAGTGAGTTCATTGTGTTTGCTCTGCTTCCTCCGTGAACGTGGCCACACGGTGTGTAACTATCTACGTCAACGTTGAGTCAGGACCACGCTGATGCAAAGTGGCATTCTTCAGATCCAGTTGTCTGAAGATGTGATAGGCGAAGGTCGCAAAGGACTCTCCGCGTTAGCCTTATGAACCGCCATTCGCTCATGAACCATCTGATATCTTGAGTGTGTCGAAGATGTATTCATGTGAGTGAATCATCGTGAAAACCACGCCTCGTATGTGGGTTTTCCTCGTGACGGATGTTTCCTCCGACCACGCCGGCCTCGTGTCGTTCTGACTCGCGCCTTCGGCCGCATGCCGACGATATGTCAGTGCACTGCATGGTCGTTGAATACAGTGCGCACTTCATGACGCTGTCAAAAGGGTGGGGGATCGAGGCTGTTGGTAAGTGAGAGGTTGCGCAACACATTCGTCGATTTCTGCCCACATGACACCATGTGGGCTGTTTGAGTGATGTTCCACCGTTTCAATCCGTGTCTTGGTTCGGGGCGTTTGTGTGACAGCACTGGATGATATGAAATTACATTTTATATGGGTATGGATACTTCTCTTGCGTGGCTATGCAAACATCTTCTTGAACGCTTTCTTTTCTTTCTCTCTCTTCTCCTTTTTGCGCAATCGGACCTTCTCGAGCTCTGCCAGAATGGCTTGATCCGTAGGAACTAGTGTACTGGCCTTGACAAGGTCCGCTTCGGCCTGGTCGTCTTCCTTAAGGACGCCGTGGGCGAGGGCTCTGCGGTAATATGCCTTGGCTGAAATTGCACACGGATGTTCAGATGACCGCACACGACCTTGCAAAAAGTTGAAACAGACGCACCCTGGTCTGCAGTGTTCAACTCTAATCTCTCCAGCGCCCGCGTCGTACTGCTGATGGCGATGTGAGCGTTGGCGGAACCACCAGCGCGTAGGGCGGAAAGTCCGGAGTTCAGTAGCAACGGCGCGAGCAGCGCATCGTACGAATCACGGAGCTCGGGTGGAGCATCCTGAGGAAGCACAGGATGCAGGTCTAGGTATCGGATCGATTCTGACGAAACGGACAGCGGTCGGTAAACATCATCATGCTCAATCTGGACATGTGAGACGTACTCTGATATTTTCCTAGTGCTGCTTCAGCCTTGCCCTCCTTAAAAAGCTTGTTTCCAACTTCACGGATGTCACGAGCAATCTTCAGAGCGGCCTCTGGCTTGTCGTTGGGGTTACCTTCCGTGATCGGATCTTGATCTTCTGGATAATCCTCGTAAACGTCGCCATCGGCTGAAGTAGCAGTCACCTCAAGAGAGGGATCAGAGGGATCAAGTTGACCGCAGGCCACAATCGTACACGGCGAATTAGGGACATCACCCGATGACGTAGGCGTATTCTCGATAGCACGAACTGGAAGCGAATGAGGCAAATGCACATTGAAATCAGCTTGCGGGGTACGCACCAATCGATTTGCCACGGATGACCTCGCCGAAAACTACGTGCTTTCCGTCCAGATGTGGTGTTGCCGCAGCGGTGATGAAGAATTGGGAGCCGTTAGTACCCGGACCTGCATTGGCCTAGCACGCAATGATCAATCCCCACTGATTTTGTCTTAGCGGCAGCGTACACGTACCATGGATAGGAGGAATGGTTTCGTGTGCGTCTTCTCGAACGACTCATCCTCGAACTTCTCGCCGTAGATACTCTCTCCACCTGTGCCGTTACCTGCTGTGAAGTCGCCTCCTTGTATCATAAACCTAGCGGAGCGTCAGAGGGAAGTCAAAACGTCACGAAATGCATCACTCACCCCTTGATGACACGGTGGAAGCTCGAGCCTGCATAAGACAACTTCTTGCCCAAGCTGCCTATGCCCTTCTCTCCGGTACACAGTGCGCCTACATCAGCAGTGAGCACGATAGTTATCCTTGTACGACGGTCACATACGGAAGTTCTCTGCGGTCTTAGGAACGATATCATTGTAGAGCTCGAAGACGATGCGTCCGGCGGGTTTGTCGCCGATGGTGATGTCAAAGTAGGTCAATGCACGCGAGGAGTCGGTCATCGTGGTCGTCGACGGTGGGGACTGTTGGCGGGGATGGTCGAGAACGTCGACCCTTTTGAGCTAGCCATCTTTCGAAAGTACGAGAATACAGGAGAAAGACACAAACGCTGGTGATTAAGTTATGAATATATTTACGATAACACTTGTTAAACATACTATTATTGATAATGTAGCCTGAATTACGCGGCACATTGAGGCAGCTCCGCAACTGCCCTCAACATCCAACCTTCTTATCCATGGTGTTTTCTTTCTTTTTCAGAGTTGTCAGGTACGTACGAAGTGTAGTTGTATGAAGGCAACGGTGTTTAGTGACGTTCGACAGTGCGGTGGTAGCATTCCTATATCCAGGATATGCATCTTTCAAGACCCTTTCACAAAGACCAGCGTCCGAGGTTGAGCTGGAGAGATGGTTGATGTACTGGAGCGTGCTTGGCTGCCTGGTAGCTGTGGAATATGTTGCTGAGTGGGCCATCTCATGGTAATGTGTTGTTCATTCTGTGATGCGCTACAAAGGCACTGATCAGCCATCGGATCAGGTTCCCATTCTACTATCCTGTGAAGACGCTGTTCCTGCTTTATCTCGCACTACCACAAACAAACGGTGCAGCGTTCCTGTATAGGACACAGGTCGCACCGTTCTTCACCACTCATGAGCATGAGATCGACTCTGCACTCGTGCAACTCAAGTCCTACGTCTATAATTACCTTCAGCAACTCTTGAGGTCTTTATGGGGTCACGTATCGGCCACTGTTGGACAGCAAGGCGAGCAGCCGAACGCTCTTGACGAGGGGGGACTCACTGGTAGCGCTGCGGTGAACGCCGGCGCACCACCTACCATGGGAGACCCCATCTCTGGCCCTGCGCAGCTTGCTCAGACGTTCTGGAGCAGCTACGGACCGAGCATCATAGCATCCGGCGCCGCGCTGCTCAATCAAGCGCAGAGATCCGCCGCAACGTCAGCATCGCAACAACAAAACACCCCGCCAGGTCCTTCGCGTGCCAACTCTTCGCAATCCTCCCAGGAGCGTCGGAGACAGCTGGAGTCCGAACTGGCTTCTCTTTCTGACCCCAACGCACAGCCGTACGACGTCGGATCCTCTCCAGTTCTCGTCCCTTCCGCCAATAACCCCTCTCGTGTCTCCTCGACATCATCGTTACGTGAAAGAGCAGGGAGTGGTAACGGGAAGTCGGCCTTTGAAGAAGTCGAGGTGCCGAGCGATATGGAGATTGAAGGGCAGGGTCACTCGATGCAGGACAGGCCCGGGCAGGCGCGACGAGGGAGTTGGTTTGGATGGGGAGGTGCGACAGCCTCAGGGAAGGGCAGCTATGAGCGTTTGAAGACGGACTAGTTCTTCCTCCATTCGGGCATCTCTCACCTTTGTTCGGTCCGAATCGGCCCTTCGCTCTCCGTACTCCCTTGTGCTTTGACCGTTGTACATTGTACTATATATTGGCATGTTCTCTTACCCTCCATGACCCGCGACCCTTGGTGAGATGTTCTTCGGCCTATCAGACCAGTCGTGCAGGTGACATTTCGGCGACGGTGAGCCACCCTGGAACGCTGGGTGAGCGGCGTCGGGCTTGTGGTCCGATCATTTCATATTTGTGTTGATCCCGGACGGCAAAAAGGTGAAAAAAGACAGCAATGACCACCGCAGGGATCGAACCTGCAATCTCCTGATGTCGCGACGATTCGATCGTAGTCAGACGCGATGCCATTTCGCCAGGCGGCCTTGAAATTGTCTCGAGAGGCCTGAGTTTCGAATAATTACCCAATCGAGAGATCACGTGGAATCTTGCGTGGCCATTTGTGGCAATGGACTGGAAGCTGTAGCCAAGCACAGACAAACAAGGGAAGATGACACCTCCAAGAGTCCCAGTCCGCGGGACATAGCTGCATTCCGCACGCTCATTACCTCCAAAGTCTTTGACTCTTCACATATCAGAACTCCTACCAATATGATTGAAAATCATATCAAGCAGAAGGATACGATGAAGGTTGGTGTTGTTCAAGCTAGCCTGACTCGGAGTGGGGCAACAGCCTGAGTCAATGCACATGTCGTCGCGAAAACGACAGCGTTGAAGAGGGATAAGGAGTTGGCGCTCTCCCTAATATGGTGCCAATGAACCAACACGCGCTTCACCGCTATGCACGACGTCCACGTCACATCAACCACTGCCGACTCGTAGCCACCAAGAAGAGGTCTATCTCCGCTCTCCAAGAGAGGAAAGCTATCCCAGGGACAACAGGCAGACAAGGTGACTTACATCCTTGATTACTCAAGAATAAAATCCTTAGAAGGTGGGCGACATCTCCTTACCGCCATCCTTATTGAAATCCCGACTGACGACTGAAGATTCTACCTTATTCGTCAATGTTTTGTGCGGTAAGGTTCTTTGTGCGTCTTATCGAGCTGTAGCGTTTCTCGTGATACGTGTAATCAGAGCTCAGGATTGCGAATCGCTAGTAGGTGGTAGTTGGCTACCGATCGACCTAAGTTCGACCAGCCCTGCCGAAAAGTTCTACGATTGTCACTGCCGATCTAGTACTTTGATAGGCATACAGAACTGACGTCGCTCTGCAGTTGAAGGAAGGCGTGATTGGTCGCTCGGTCCACCAACTACCTACTAAGACAGGTTGGGACTCGATTTCCTCTCCACAACGAGACCGAACGCTGTGGCTCAACCGGTGCCGTTGTAGAGACAAATCGACATAAACCAAAGTTTCGAACAGACCCTCCGGGAATGCTTCTAAAAGAGGTAGACTATACGCTTCCGGAGCTGCGCAATTCCGGCTTCGTATCGTAATACTTCCACCTCTTTAGTTCCCCGGCTCTAGCTCTAATTCGGACCTCGCACTAGATTTCTCGGTTGCAAGGACCAGCACAGGTGCATACACATGCGTACATATCTTTCCACAGCTGAGCAAAGCGAGGTATTGTGCTTGAAGGATAACAGGACTCAAAGATAGCAGGATTGTCTAAGGTCATTGGCATCGCGGTGCGTCACTTGAATAGTCTTCGGTGAGATGTTTAAGATGTTTGATACGACTTACAGTAGCTTCAAAGTATACCGTGCAGGTGCGGGGAAAAGCCACGCAAACCAGCAAATTAACTACGAACACCCACTCGAATCGTTTGTGCACACATACGGCGGCATAACTGTGACACTCTCCGACGTCCTGCTCAACCCAGCTTGTCAGAACTCTTTTGCGACCTTGACTTTCCCCCCACTTTCCACGTCACCACTCGCCCACTTCTCTTCCGTCTCCAATGCCGTTTTGCTATCCCCATTATCACTATTGCATGTAAACCACGCCTTCTCCTCGCAGTTTGAGCGTCCCAAGACATCGTCATGTCAACACTGAAGTCCAAACGCCGGTCAGGAAAGCCTGGAGCGTGGCAGTGATTCAAGTTTCCTTGACGAAGATGTTGACTCAGGCCAACGCCGAGGATTTGTCAGCGATAAACTGAAGTTCGTGATTACTTTTGTGAAGTGTACTGCCTCACGAACGTTCCTCCCGAGCATTCGACAAACCATCGAGATCTACATATACGGCGCTCCAAACCTATTACGACCCCCAGAGAAACAGTCTTCTCGATGTAGTACGCCGAACGTGCTCTTTCTATTTATGCGTCGGATTATAGTTTATATCCTCATATACACCTCTGATGTACCCAAGTACTGCCAGTGTGGGGTCATCGAATCCCATATACTAATTACCTTATCGAAACCTCGATTCTAGAGGCGTTGTCTCACGACTAGTTATCGTATAGAAGATATTAGGGCAAAATTAGCCTTGAGTACTATGTTAAAGCAGTCTGGCAATTTGTATGACCTTTTTAATGGGAATGCCTTCCTTCAAAAGGAGCAAAAGCAAAACTTCAGCCGACTACCGACGGTGGGACTCGAACCCACAACCTTCGCCTGCCAAATGATGGCTCAATTAATCACGTGAGCGCAATAGGAAAGCGACGCTCTACCATTGAGCCACGACGGCTCATTTTGAGGGTATTTTCGTATTTTTTCGATGCAAATTGAGCGAGATATGAGGGAGGAAAGCCGTCGAGAAGTTCGAGAGCCTCGAGGAAGATACGATTCGACCTATTTCGGACGATCGATCACATGTGCTTCTATTTGACGCCCACAGCTCTGGAGAGTCAATATACCGCTGCAGAGTGCATAAAAACGTTTCAGAACGCGTAGATGAGTACTATATACACTACTGTACCTACATAGCACGGAAAATACGAACTTTCCTGCGAGTAAGTAAGCGAGTGTGGCCAGCATCATCATCGCGCGCCATCGCCTTTCTGGGAAACACGTGGACGTCTTGGCAGGCCACCTCCATCCCCTCTGGCAACAACCTTTGTTTCACCACTGCTTTGGGCCCCATTTGCGATGGTGGCATAGCGTACTTCGTTGCAAAACAACACAAGTGGCAGGAATGGCCACAGGGCATTAGCATCAAGTGAGTGGCCTCGTCAAAGCTGATTTCGTGACGGTCGCTGCTTTGCTGACATGTAGGGTCGCTGCGGCTGGCCTAACGGTCTTTATACCGCAACTACTCTCCTTATAATGGGAGGGAGAACGAAGGTCGTCTCCACCCGTGACCACTTCCCCTCAACTGGTACGTTACACTGCCTCTCACATCATGTATATCAATGCTGACTCTAGCATCCAAGATCATGCTTCATACTCCAAGCATTGTACTTCAGAGCAGCCACAACCCCGTCTATACCTGGTTCTGGTTTGATACGCTCGATGGATCGGGGGTTTGGTGTCAAGCCGAGCTGCCACCCCTTGAGCCTCTCGTCATTCCCATACCTCCCGAATTACTGCAAGGCAACGCTTTTCTACTCACGCGAATTGCCTCATTCCTCGATACCCCATCCAAAGACGATCGTAACTCCTTGCTCGCATTGGCTCTGACTTGCCATCACTGGCGGAAAGCAACGGCCTCACTCCTCTTCCGAAGGATTCGCATCCGCAAGTTTGACCAGTTCTCATCGCTTTACATGCAACTGTCCCATAACTCGAACCTCAGAAACACTATCCACGAGCTTCGATACAGGTTCTGGGAAGATGTCACGAGCTCCAACTGTCTAGCTCTCCTTCTCAATCATCTCCAACCCTCAATTTTACAGATAGATAACTTTTGCGGTGTTGGGATCGATCGCCATGCCATACAAGAAATATCCACAGCCCAAAGAAGCCGCAGCATCGGTCCTCGTCATCTCAGGCTCAGGATGTGCACCTTTGCCCGGTTTCGAGATCTTATTAGTATGATCCACGCGTTCCGTTGCTTGGAAGACCTCTTCCTAGATGTCGTTTCATGGGCGGATGGATACTGTGAGGTTAAAACCCTGCCTCGTCGCATCATGCCCATCTCTCTCAGGGGTTTGACCATCGGTCGTCACTGTGACATCGGCGCCGTCGTCTGGTGGTGCATGAGCAGCGTCAGGCTCTCCGGTGTTACAAAATTAGGATTCCTTTCGCTCTCCGCCTCCGCAAAAGAAATGGTCGTCGTCTGCTGCCTGCTCCATTGTGTTCGTGATGTACTCGAGGAACTAACCATTGGTGTTTCCACAAACACTTCCGACTGCCTGGGTACGTCTGTGTGCATACAAGCCGACCACTGCTCACAGTTCTCCCCCAGATACATCCCATGTAGAAATACCCCTTGCATCATTTCGCAAACTCCAGATGCTCCGGATTCGTGTTCTCGATGCGCAGAATATGCTATGGATCCGACAGCTTCTTGAGAAATTGTGTATGCACCCTGGGGATCCAAATACCCAACCCACAAGTCCCTCTACTGCAATCACCATCGCCTTTGACGTCTGGCTCTTCCATGAAAACCAAATATACAGTGCCATCTGGGACGAGATTGTCAACATTCTTCTCAGTCTTACTGGAAACGGTACAGCGACAATGCGACGTCTCGACAAGATTGTATTCGTTCATCATGGGCCGATGGACGAGTTCGAGGCCGAATACGCTATCAAGGAGCGATTTTCACCACTGAATACCGTGGTTCCGTTGGAGGTTCACTACGAGGACGCATTCTGATTGCTGTATGCTAAATTGACTGTGCTGGACCGTGTATTTTCATGCCCTATGTACCCCATACATCAGATCGCGTTCGAGGGATCTCCAACTGAATTGAAGCTAATGATGGGGGAGTCTTATGCTACAAAATGAAGGGAAAACCAATATAAACGAGTGTGCTACATCAGACTGCAGGCAACAGGGTAGTGATGGTTCAAGGGTCATCGAAAGGGGTCATCGTAGGAGGATAGATGACAGCCATGTTCTTCGTTTCGATCTCGCCTGCCTTGAGGCGGACAACGTCTTCACGTAAGGTGGCGAAAAGCTTAACTTTGTCCGGGAGCTGGCCATCAAGGGGAATATTCAATACCGTATAGGATAGCGTACGGTGACTGAACTGACCTGGTGGCTGACAACTCGTCCAGATGTACTGGGCATGACGAAGAACATGGTTTCCGCAATGTCTGCAGACTTTCAGATCATGTCTTGACCAGATCACAACCGCCGAAGGAAGCGTACCGTGCTTAGTGACCGGATGAACGACTTTGATGGGTTGCAGCCCCCAACCAAAGATGATTTTCACCTTTCGGGGACGAATTGGCTGCTTCCCGCGCTTCGAAGGAACTGCAAGAGCAGACGGATCATCATTCCCTGTCTTGACGGCCTGCCCATTGACGGGCAATGGAAAAGAGAAGCCTGAAGGCGCATTCGTCCGCAGAACATGACCATCGAGGGAAAGTTTGATCGCTTCCTTCGCGAATACATCCCAAATACCTTTCCCGACGAAACACACGACACGAGGACGATGCTCTGCAATCTTTTGGAGCAAAACGGGGACCCCTTGTATCATATCGTCCTTCGATAGCTCGGCTTGCTAGGAACGTGTGACGGTAGTTAGCTACGGCAGCCTCGGGGCGAATGCATATACTGCACTTACCTCTGCACTAGGCCTTGCAACTAAATTAGTCTATCAACAGCGGTAATTAGAGGGAAAAAGTAAAGATGCGAAACAGGCGCATATGTACCAAGCCGAGGTTGTACAACCCCGGTAGAGTGTGGTCTTCCGATGGGGGAAGCAGTCTCTCCGTCAGTTCTGAAGGAAGCTTCTCGTGAATGGTCGCGCTTGCAATTGCACGATTGGGCATACCAGACTGGTGAAGACACTTCCAGAAGTGATTAGTAGGATTGGCAAAATGATGACCGACTTCCGCTGACTTGCATCCAGGACTATAATTGATAGGAATTGAAGCGTACACTGCAGCTCCAAAGGAGAAACTAGACGGACTTTACCCCACAAAACATGACTGAACAGAAGAGACGTCAGTTAAAGTCGGGATTGAGATCGGGATGTCAGCTTAAATGAAACGCACCATCCAGGGAATCTTTCAAGTAATCACTTAAGAAGCCGAGATGAGCATACTGCTCTGGAGGCGCAAACCCCCTTTTCAACTTCTTAGTATTGGAAGGTCCCTCAACCTTCACAATCGGGACTGTCCGTTTCCAGGAAGGCTTGGGTAATGAAGTAGATGCGGACAATATACCCGCTGTGGTCTCTTTATCCTGTTCAACGCCGCCAAGATTAGGAAGAACGTCGCCGTCCTCATCCTGACCCCTCTTCAAGTTCGAGTCTGTCCGTTTTCGCGACGACCTGCACAATCGCTGTTGTGCTGGCGACTCAAATCTGAAGACCTCCAACGTTTCCTTCAGCTTTGATAGCGGCGTTTCCGTCTTCATAGGTGTAGACATTGTACTTGAGACTTCATGCGACTAGCTAGAGTTTAGAGGCCAGGATTGTCGTGGAAAAGAGTTCCAAGTTCAAGAAGGGCTTGCTCCTATAGCTACTAGGCGCGCGATTATGCCATCAAAGGTAGCGCTCTGAACTTTGAAGACTCTCCCTGAGACTTGATGAATAAGCGGAGAATATACCTGCCACAGTGTTGCAGTAGTTGCCACCACCTATTGCTTTTGCTCTTGTGAGTTGTCAATTGTGATTGACGATTTTCACCATTGAACCCGTTGACAATCAACCAAGATCACCATGTCCTCGTTGACCTTCCAATCGACACTTCGCCTATCGTCTGGTACGTTTGGAGAGATTCCGAGATACCTGCATTCCGACTGAGAATTTATTGCTGGCACACGCCATGAAGGCAACCAGATTCCTCGCTTGGGTTTCGGCGCTGCGTTCAACTTTGGTAAAGCAGAGGATGTCGCAGCCGTCTCAAAGCCTTCCCTTTTGGAGGCTTTGCGAGTGGGCTACAGGTATGTTCTTGACCTCGTGTGCGATGAACGCGATGTTTACGATTTTTAGACATATCGATACTGCTCAGATGTATAATAATGAAATATACGTTGGTCAGGCAGTCCGAGAGTTTGGACTGAAGAGGGAGGACGTGTTCATCAGTGAGTGCTCAGAATGCAGTCAGTGTATCCGCTCCTCAACCCTTTGGCAGCCAGCAAAGTCCCGTCGACCTCGCAGGATGGCCTAGCCGCAGTCGATGCCTCTCTGAAAGACTTGGGACTAGGTATGTTCTCCTACCTCTAAGACCGTTGGCAGTTCAGACAACTTATAATCAATAGATTACATCGATCTCTATTTGATTCATAGTCCCCCGAGAGGAAAGGATGCAAGGCTGAAGCTGTGGCGAGAGATCCTTGCAGCCAAGAAGGCTGGAAAGATTCGCAGCGCAGGTGTCTCAAATTTGTAGGTCTCACGTTCGTAGCAGCTGCAACAGATCATTTCATGGCTATCAGCAACGAGCGACAGCTCGAAGAGATCAAGAGCGCAGGTCTAGAATTGCCGTCAGTAAATCAGGTCGAGGTGCGAGGCGATCTTTAACAGTGTCATCATCCAATATGTAGCTTATGATGACGGTCGTTCAAGCTCCACCCTCTCTGCAAGCAAAGACCCATAGTCAACTACTGCAATGCCAATAGTATTGCTATCGA